TTGCTCGCTGATTGACAGCGTGAAATGTTGCCACATGTGTTGCAAGTGTGCAACTTGCAACTTGAAAGCCGTCGAGCGACTTGCCAATGTTATGTTAATGAGTTATTGTCTTCGTGCGGCAAGAGTGCAGCAAACTGCAGTCAGGCCTCGTCCCTTGATTTTTCCTTGCCTCGCCAGAGTGTGTCGTCTGTGTAATGAAAAAACAATTTTGAGAATTTGCCAGCATGCTGGCAAAGTAAACAAGAGGCGACATCACTTGTCATAACATTTGCGACCCGGACATACCATCTCAGTCCCGCTCCGTCATCCCTTGTCACTCGCCCCTTCGTATTTTGTATATTTTGTATGTTTTTTAGTCATTTACCCAGACTGTGGCTGCATCGAGTCCTTTTCAATTATGGCCCATGCACAAGGACACTGAACGAAATAAAGGACACATTATAGGAGGTATTAACTTGGAGTCCTTAAACAGATAAATAAAATATGTAAAGTGTCCTAGAGTTTTGCTAAGACTCTACAAGTAAGTACATTTTTTATGAATTTAAAACAAGCATACTTTCTCTTGCTTATTTTAATATTTATTAAATGTTCCCCCATTTAAAGCTCGAATTATTCTTGACACAATCAGCCTCTTTTTTGTTGCCGTGCACACATGTATATTTATATTTGTCATTGTTATCAAATCGGACAGTTAATTGCTTTTGTGTGTGCTCAGACAATGGGGCCAAAGCAATTTTAATTGTTGCCATATTTTTGTAACAGCTTTAAGTTGCAGGGGCCGGGCTGGCAATCATCGGATGCCGGGAGGGAGGGGGGTCTTGCCCCATTAGCAAATCCAGGCAGGCAATTTTCTTTCATGGTTCCATGCTGGGCATTGTTATTAATCAATAGTCGGGCTCCTTTGGCTCTGTGGGGTCCTCGAATGGCTGATATGGGTCATGGGGGATCTGGGATATATGGGATCTTTGTATATATGGGCCATGGGTTTGGGTTGATTAAATAGGCGCGTTAAGACAGCTGCCACACACACACAGGATTGCATGTGTTATGTAATCAATGAATCAAATAATTTGATTTATGATTGCCTTTGATTTGCTCCACTCACAACCACAAACTTACACTCACTTCCTGCTGCTAAATGAATTATGAGTGTGTGGGGCCGTGGATAAGAAATGCTGCTGGGATAAGAATTGATAAATAGTCTGGGGAGCTTCTTGCACATTTTATTTTAAATTGCACTGCCAGAAACTATATTGAAGGGACTAAATAACACAAGCAGAATTAAGTAGTACAAAATTAAGCCAGTAAAGTTCTGTTTAATTTATAATCAATGTTTTAAATTGGTTTTCTATTTGCCAATTGAACTGATTTCTTCATCATTTTTCGTGTACTTAATTTATTCCTTGAAATGATAAGGATAACCCTCCTTAATTGATGCGAAAAACATGATTGATGGCTTGGGAAGGCGAAATTGTAGGTAAGCTGATTGAGAAAAACCTGATGGGTCAAGGTTGCGGAATTATGAAATAATTCTACAATTCGCCTTTTGTTTTCCATTGTTACTTGGAGATTTCCGCACCACGCCTTTAACCTAAGCCGAGCCACGCCCCTCTCTTTGGCAAGCTGTTTATTTGCCCGTCTGCGTCTGTGTCTGTGTCTGCATTTCGGTGACATTTTTGCCATTAGCCAAATGTCAATGCTCGACGGCGAGTGGTAAGCACTTATAATAGATGGGATATCCAGTCGGTTGCCATTGGCAACAACAAATGGGGCTCAGGCTCAGGGCTCATGGCCCATGGCTCCCGGCTCCCGGCTCCCGGCTCCCGGCTCCTGGCTGTTGCCTGTCAACTGGAGGATTGCGTGGAGAGCAGACGCGAGCGCGGATACGGATGCGGATGGGACGATAAAAGAATGCCACTAAGGCCCTTTGATTGCCGCCACCCATTCCTCTCCCAAAACAGTCGCCCACAGCCGGATCCTGACAGCGCAAATCTTCTACAGGATAATTTGAATAATTTCACTGACCCAAGCCAATCACCCAGACCCCGGAGTGAAAGTCTAGCAGCGACTCCTCTCCCGGCTGACAAATGGCTTTTAAATCACCTGTCCAGGCTTGAGTTAAGAGTTCAGCGCAGCGCTCACCGATTTATTTTTCTTTTTTTGCATACTTAAGACACTTGGCTGTTGACTTGCAATTCGTTGCAAGTGGAATGGATACTCCGAGTTCCGTGGGTTCATTCCGCCATTTCCATATCCAACTCCCAACTTTTCCGTTCGCTGTTTATGGCACGCATGCCTGCCAACGGGGCAACGCGGCGTATGCGTAACCACAATGAAAAGCCGTGCGCCGTGTGCCGTGTCCAACAGGAAAGCTGTGCAGTCACAGAAATTGTGTGAATCTATTGAATATTTAAGTTTTAGTTCGAAAGTACTGGGAAATACCTTACTGTGTGATGTTAAATACTATTTTGTAATAGAACTTAATAGAATGCTTAGTGCTCAGTCTAGATTTTAAGTACCTTCAAGGCAATTATATGTTATGGTAACAAATATTCATTTTCTTTATTGTTCATGATATTTTTAAAGGGGAACTATAGACGCCTTAAAACTAGAGACATTTAAAATGCAGTTGTTTCTTAATAAAATCTTGTTTTACCTTTCAATTTCCTTTACAAAGTATTAGTGACTGACCATCTCTCAAAGTTTCTCTCACTGCAGGCGTCAGTTTCAGCTCCAGTTTGAGCTCATCAGGAGTTTTGCCTGGATGACGGCTTATTATCAGCAACGGCAGCACTTTGCACGCCTTGCAGCACATGGAAATTGTTGGACAGGTGGGGATTGCAGGGACTGCATGCACTTTTGTGATGGATTAACCGGCGCTTAAGCTGCAGTCGAGCGATAAGTGCCGCTCATGGCAGGCCATTTTGTGTGCTGCCGCTCACTCACCTGGGCAGCTTCCCCCACACCCACCTGCTACCCAGCACCACACCTGCCTCAAATGCCACACCTGCCACATGGCCACCTGCCGCGATGACGATGGCGATAGAGCTGGCGATGGCGATGGCGATGGAGATGGTGCTGCGATGGGCAAATGGAGGCGAGAGCAACTGTAACGGAAGCTGGCAATGAGAGTCGTTTTAAAATTGAAATGTAATTTCCTGCAGCATGTGGCGATAGACACTGGCTCGGTTCCTGCGGCGGAGTGGTAATATCCACATAGGACACACAACTCATATGCATATAATTCGCAAGGAGTGAAACTTCATTTGGATGGCAGGCACGTAAGTCAAAGTCAAGGATACCCATAAATAAGTTAGTTTGCCCCCAAAGGATGTGCAGTCAAAGAGGACGTGGAGCCTTAGCAGTTAGTTGATTAACTTGGCCACATCTGATGGATAGAAGAGGTTACTTTCAGATGGTAATATCTGTCAGGGCTATCGGTTCTTGAGCAATCAATTCAAGAGTCATGAAAGATAGAAAAACACACGGTCAATTTGATTTAAGGTAAATTGTAATTAATATTATTTACCAACTTAATTTATAAAGGCTTCTAAATATAGTTTTTGGAATATGTACACAATATAGGGTTTAGGTAATACTCTGCAAATTGATTGTTCCATATTTCAGCTTCTCCTATTACTCCATTGGTAGAGCTATCAAATTGCTCGCTTAGTCCTTGGAAAGGACTAAGGTCCCCCCATTGTGTGTATGTGTGTGTGTGTGTGTTTTGGGATGACCCCCTTTAAGCTTACCCCTTATAAACTTACCCCCCTTAAAGAGCAACAATGACTTAATGCTTAATGCGTTTCGGTGACCCCCGGCATTTTCCGCTTGGTCTTGCATGTGGATGCATTTGATTGCTTTTAAATTACATTTCCCAGAATCGATAGTGGCCCATAATTTGGCCTTTTCCAATTGCAGTAATATTATTCGTATTCAAATTCATTAAGCAACGAATGAGAGAGGTCAGTTTTTTGGCTACAGCTTGCCATTAGATATTCCAATTTCGAGTGGATCAAACTCGACGGCATGCAAAGCAATTAATTTAATTGGATTACAGTCGTAGGGGCAAGCGGTATATGAAATTCCATATTTATGTGTAATTATTCATTGGGTCCCAGCTACAAATCGAATTCATTTTATTTTGACCCCATAATTTGATTACTGTGACATTTTGCATTAGCATTTGACACAAGCAACACCAGAATGGCCAGAGTAGGGAAAGGGTTCCACGGCCAGAGATTCCCTCGGGTTTGCCCAAAGTTTGTGCAGCTGCACTTCCGCTGCGATGACGGAAGAGCAGTTCCGTGGGGGCGAACTCGGCAGAAAGATAAACATTCGACACACCGGCCACTGGAGCTAGGAGCTTGGAGCTTGTAGCTTGTAGCTTGGAGCTCGAAAAGGCCATCAATGGCAGACGGCGGTGCCAGGGACAGAATCGCGTGGCACGACAATCATCGATGAATTGGACGGGCAAAGTTTTCCAACCGGACGAGGGACTCTGATTCCGATTCCTATTCCTGCTTGGACTCTGCTTGTCTCAGCTGCTGCTTCTGTTCCTACGCCAGCTCCTGCTCCAGCTCCTTCTCACTTCCCAGCTCCCATTGCCTTCTGTGCCACCCTGCGATTCTGCGATTCTGAACTTCACTACAGTTGAGAAATTACTTATTTTTCAATTGTTGGCCCTTGCTGGCCGGAATGGCATTTGGCATTGTTGTAGCCGCGCCGCCATTGCCGTGCAATCTTGATTACTGTCAGTGGCAGCAGTTGTATTTAAAATTGGCTAACAAGTTGGCTTCCCTCGGCTGGGGCAAAAGAATCCCGGCGATGCTCGTTTACTGCCGCTTTTTACCTACTCTGTCTCGGGAGAGAGGTTAACTTATATTTTCTGTCCATCTGTTTGTGGCTCTGTTGGCTACTTGAAACTTGGACCACTATTTCAGATGTTCAGGTGGAAATTCTCTAGGCCAAAGCTAAAATTTAAATAGTTTTAAAACACCTAAGCAAGCGAGCTTAATATTTATTTCAAAACGAAGTCGAAACACCAAAGTCTACACAAAAAATGCTTTCGAGGCACTTGAGATTTTGATAAAATTTGGAAAGAGTATTTTGAGCTCCGGTTTCTCTGGCACTAAATGGCTCCCTTTACTTTTCATTTGGTTTTGGCCAGCCGCCGTTTCCTTGTTGCCTCTTTTCCGTTCTCTCCCTTCCGTTTCCTCCTTGGCCTATCTGCGAATTTTCGCAATGATCTGTCCGGCAGCCATTTTGCCATTTCGCCATTTGTTTGGCTCCCCGAAAGTCCTTCGCTTGCCTCAACCAGCTGCCTCTTTTGTATTTGGTGTGCATTGTGTACATTTGTTTGGCAATAATTTGATGTTCATTGGGATATTGCCATTTTGTAGTGATTGCCAACGATATTTGTATATCTATATATGTATGGGATTCCGTTCCGCAATTAGGGCTTAATGAAGTGACCCACGAAAAAGACGTTCTTTGAGTTTCGGATGGCGAAGACGAAGGGACGGTCTACTATGATGGTTTTGCGATCGGGATTCCTCCTTACCTTTTTAGTTTTTGTTTCTAATTAATACAAGAATTTATATATATAATTCATATAGTAAAATATTATCTTAATTCCTTACTTGTCTCTGGTGCCGTCTCACATCCAGCCTCGTTTACCAGCAAAAACAGTTTGTGCCTGGCCTCCGATATCCTTTGGGGTGAGTTCTTGCCAAAAATCCCACTCAAATCCGCTTGACCAGTCTCAAAAACTCGATTGATTCCCAACTGTTAAATATTTAATATAAATATAAGTAATTCTTTAGATAAACCAATATATGTTACCTTTTGCAGGGGCACTTTAAGATCAATATCACATTCAATTCGGAACTTTGGCAGTGTCACATCGACTTCGTTTAGGAGACTCCTCGCTGCTACTTCGTTTAGGTCAAAATCCTTCAGTTTTTCCTCCAATATGCTCAGTCCATCGATGGCCCTGGGCAGGATTATCATCATGGTCACATTTGACTTCTCAAAGGGTAGCTGCAGGATCTGCGACTTGAGCTTCTTGGACTCGCCGTACCGGAACTGACCGATCTGCCGCATCATGTCCACCTCCATGCGCTGGCGAGGATTTATCCAAAAGTCACCCAGCGTGGTGGCATCCAGTGGAAATCCCTTGTTCCACTTGGCCCGGAAGAATAAGGAATTGACCAGTATTACACTCGAATCGGAATTGAAGACCTCCGGTGTGAGGAAATTCCGCACAGTGTAGAATGTCTGCTTCTCCAGCCATTTATTCACTTTCTTCGTCGAGGCCTCCGCATCCGTGTAGTTCAGGGAAGTCGCCGAGGCATTAAAGAAATCCTCGGCCTGCGGATTAAATTCCGGCCGGAGATCGACCTTCTCATCGACATATAACCGGGTGACCAGCTGCAGGGCCACTCCCTTCTCGGCACAGGAGCACTCCCGGCTCCAGGACTCTGCATGCTGTCTGGCAATCTCTGGCTTCTTTGCCGCTCCCAGGATCAGGTTGGAGCGCAGCTCATCTGCACTCTTTCCTCCGGCTCCCATGAAGACCAGGGTCATGGCACTACGAGCCGCCGCCGGCGAGACCATCATGTTCATCGGCGGAGCATCCTCGTTGATGGCCCGGAATAGATTCCGGGCAAAGACGATTGGACTGGCGGCGAGCGATGGGGCCGTAGTGCCCCCAGAGGCCATTGGAGCCAGGCAGAGAATTAGGAAAACTTGGGAGAGAAAAGGAAAAGCAGAAGGGATTTGATTACTTACTACCTGAATTTAGACAGGCCGACGACAGCCCAGTAATCTTACCCCATTCGCTTGGCATGCTGAGATTCAACTGGAACTGAAACAAAGTGATGTGAAGCAAGCAATTGATCTTGGAGGCTGAGTCACAAACTTGTCTAAATATAGCTCTGGATATGTAAATCAAGTTTTATATAAACAGGTTTCGGGAAGGCGCAATTGTTGACAATAATTATAGGGAGCCCTTGAAGCTACTCATTGGTATTGCATTGAATTTTTTGGAAATGATTGTTTTACAAACAAGAAATTACAATAATATACTTCAATGTTAAATATTATTTGTGTGGATATATTTATACATTGTAATTATAATAATGCAAATCTCTTTGCCTTGACTCTCTGTCTCTCTCTCTCACTCTCTCTCTCTCTCTCTTTCTCTCTCTCTCTCTCTCTCTCTCTCTCTCACTCTCTCTCTCTCTCTCTCTCTGTATCTCTGGAGTGATCTATTTCTCCCTAACTCCCTACGCCTATCCCTACGCCTTTCTCTTTCGCGCTCTCTCTCTCTCACTTTCTCACTCTCACTTTCTCTGCTCTCTTTACTCGGAGACTATAAATACAGGCACTGCCATCGCACTGACCTCATTCAGTCCGCGGCCTCCCCACTGCTAACATCTGTAGTGATGAAGATAGTGATCGCCCTTCGACACCGGAAATACCACCTGACCAATGCAATATATCTGGATAGCCAGGAAGAAGCTTCAATGATTCCAAAATAACTTAATTGAGGTTACCAAGAATTTAACTCAACAGGAAGGTAAGTTACTTCTGTAAGTCTTAACCATTTATTTCCCAATTAATTACTTTATTGCCATGTATCCCTTTACTTAACTTTAATTTAAAGTGAAACAATAATTTGTATTACAGATATTTACAGACATTATTTCCTACCCTTTAAATCATATATATTCTTGATCAGCATGGAACAAAATCAATTTGTTTTATAACAATCATTGGTTTGCTAAAAAAGTTTTAATATCCTAAAACCAACTTCAGCCTCAATGAATCGAATTTTCAGATTTTAAATAAAAACCAATTGAACACTTTGACAATTGATATTAAACCGAATGTGTGTCAATTTTTATTTTATTTATTTATTTATTTTTTGCGTTAAATGCATTATTGCTGATGGAAAAATAGTTGAAATTGCTAGATAGACGCTTTTGTTTTTGTTTTCGCTGTTGTTTAGCTCTGTTTGTTTAGCCGGCTCACATTGCTGCCAATTTTTTGTCTGGACTGGCAAATATTTTTAGCCGAATATACTAAAGGGGAAGCTGCGGGAGAAAATTGTGGGAAAAATGTAGGGGAATAGGGTTTGGCATTGTTATTTGCATGCCACGACAGCAAGTCAATAAAGTCAATGTATTGGCAGATGCCTTGGCGGTGCCATAAGCCCTTCATTCTATTCTCTACTCAGTCTGTGTTTGTGGGTGTGTGGGAGAGTGTACTTAAATGATGTCTACACATTCCTAGGACCCTATTTCCCTCTCTTTCTCTGGCAGCAGTTGCCTTCTCTTTCTCTAGGGCTACAGCCATCTCCTTTTGTCCCTTTGTCTCATAAAGCGAGACTGCGTTATGCATTGCTGTGCACAGATTTCGCGCTTGATTGCTCTGCTTATGCGCCTGATGCGTTTTGTATTTATATTTCAATTTCATTTCGTTCACCTTTTGACGTCACATGTGTGTGTACACACCTGAGTGTAGTGTACAGTACTGAGTGTGTGTGCCATTCAATCATGCATTTGCTCATGCACTCGGCTGGCGCAAATGAACAAATTTCACGTCTGATTGAGCCATTTAAGTGCGATTTGCCCGCCTAATCGACCTCCCCTCATTTAACATCTGCCATTTTCCATTTTCCGTAATTTTACCACCCCTCGTTGGACTTGGAAATGCGTTTAATTCTCAATATTTTGATCGCATTACGATGCTTGGCCTAAACTTTTGGCCATAATGCAATTATAATTGAATTCTTTTGTCTAAGGAACCGAAGACAGTGCCTCTGTAAGAACGCGATTACCCTGGGCCATCGAATTCAAATCGCGCACTAATTGCATTTTCATGAAGTAGCAAGAAGCAAGTGGCAAGTATTCGGAAAGCGCCTCGAGCCAGGGAACATACTCCGCCAATTTCTGATGATGGCATGGCTTCGAACATTTTCTGTATTATGCGGCTTTGATGGCTTAGGCGGTGCCAGCAGCCAGCAGGGAAAATGAAACAAATGAAAAGGAGCAGGAGCCGGAGAAGGAGGAGTGAGGTGCTCCATGCAGCCTGGGAAACTCACACAAATTTTCTTGCTAGCCCCCCTTCGGGCTATCATTTTCGATTGTGAAAGTTTCTGTGTGCTGTGTGCTGTGTGCTGTGTCTTGCGGTTGCCGCGCAAGAGAAGTACTCAGCCAACTAGTTTGTGGCTCAGAGCCCCACTCGACCCTCCTCCTCGCAGGATGCCTCAGTGCGGAGTTCCTTATAGCAGACCGCAATAAATACGAAATTTTGCTAAAATATTGAGTAGCAGCCACCGCCGACAATGGCGAATTGATTGGCCCGACTTGAAGCCTTTTTGCTGAAATTAACCCTTTTCTCTGGCATATGGTAATTCGATTCGATGGCCAATTCAATTCTGGAGGCAAGTGTAACTGGATCTGTAGCTAGAGCCCGGGAGATGCGTTTGGTTTTGCTTGGAACTGGTAGCAAATTCTATTTGCACTCGCTCTCTCTGTCTGTATACGATACCGAATCCGAATCGGGTGTCTGACTTTGTAGCTTTGTCCATTTGATTTGTGGTCCATTTTGCAGTTGAAATCAAACAGCAGGCGGAATCTGGCAAATAGTAAACAGCAGACTAAATGGCAGAGTGAGCAGTAAGCTGTAAAATGCAAACTGCAAACTGCAATTGCAGCTGCAACAGCAACAGCAAACTGTCGACGACAATCGACAAATGTGTTGCAACACGTTGTCACGCATACGCACCGTTGCACCGGCAGCAACACGGCAAGAGGGATGAGGCAGCTCGAGAACAAGACTCACGTCGAGCTCAATAATTAATTGTTGTGCCACACTTCACCTACTGCAATCGAATTTTGTAATGCATGACTCGCAGAGAAGAGAGAGAGAGACACGTAGGCACACACCTATTTATTTATTAATTAAATCATTCATTGTTCAATCAAACTTCTGGGAATCGCACGGCATTCCGTATTCTGTGTTCCCCCAAACTGTCGCCTTAGATGCATTTGCACACGCAACCGGAGCGAGCTCAAGTCCCCGAGCTGTTGTCGCAGGCATTCATCATTTAATTAGTTGTACAGTTTGTGCGGGAATTGTCTGATTTGCGGTAAATGATTTCAATAAATCAGGAGCAACAGTTTGTGTGGAGTGTCTGAGTTGAAATCAATTGATTTTCCTCCCTTTTTAACAGAGTTTGCTCTTTCTATTCCCGGTTGCTAGTTCGTCGCTGATTTCTGTTTATATTTTTCTATGGAATTTTTACAATTCGTTTTTCAGTGCTTCTTCATTTTTGTTGGCTCTGCTGTTTCCGATTTGCTTCGCACATACATACATACATATATCCCTCTTCTTGGCCCTTTTGTTGAGACAAAATTGTTTGTATTTGTTTAGGCTTATGGCCAAGACGATAAAAACGTCTCAAGCGCAGACAAATGCTCAGAGAAAACAAGCGAATGAGGCTGAATTGGCACAATCGAAGTGCGGTTGCTCTTCAGCTTGAAAAGAAATAGGAAAAGAAATCTATTTATTAAATATTAAATACACTCTAAGGAAGTATATAAAGTTCGTAGGGTATAACTAGAAAGCCTTATTGAATTAATAGTTTAAAGTATGTAACATAGAAACCTTATAATCATAAATCATCTAATTAAAATATTTAAAAACCTCTTCAGATGATCCTTTTCTTTATTATAAACTCCTGGAAAGAGTATTAGGAATAACCTAGCGAAAAAACAATAAAAATACAATTTCGTGTCTGAGTTTGACTCCGATCTGAAGTGGGATATATACCTATACCTATTGGTATTACCTACGACATGCATGTGTGTTAGTGCTGCCAAAACACACACTCACACAGGGCCACGTGGAGCTGCAAGGACAGTAACAGACACAGATACAGGTCCAAATAGAGAGAGAGTTTTGTAGTAGACAGTGGAGAGGCTCTCCAGCAGTCACTTCTATAGACATTGGCTAAATTTAAACAGCACAAACACACCATACACACACACACACACACACCAAACTCACACTCACACACATCGAGAGTTGAAGTGAAAAGCGAAGAGCTACATTTCCTGTGCCTTTCTTCGATTTGATTTTTCATTTCCGCTGCAAATGGTGACAAAGTTGGAAATCTCTCAAAGGTGTGTGTGAAGCTTTGGACAGCGGGGACATATACGGTGTGGAAGCCTGCTCTTGACTATTTGTATGTTGTGTTGATTTCTCGTGAAATATCAATACAAGCCAAGGCAGCCGGGCAAACAGAGAGATGGGAAATAGGTAGCCGGGGCGGCCCACATCCCGGACTTGGTCCACTTGAGATTTCCAAGTTGCAGTCGCTCAAGTGAGCTGGCGAGAATTGTCCTTGGATGTACTGGGAGAAACAAACACATTAAACTTGATTTGGGTTTGACAATACTACATTAAAATAAAGAATAAATACCCTTTAAGTTTATTAATATTTGTTCTAGTTCAATTCTGTCCTTGGAAATTCATCAAAATTTCAGTTGATTCCTGAATTTATAGCTTTTCTTTCTGTGCCGGAGGAAATGGCTGGGTACAAGCTTTAGTGGCCAACAGGAAATTTAAACAAAGCCAAAACTGAATTTAGCACCTCAGCTGGCAGCTGCGGTGTCCGTTCATAAAATTTGGCTTCAAGCGGGCAGAGACCAGGGGAGGAGAGAGCACACACAACACACCATTCACCACACACACACACACACATCGTAGAGCAAAGACCAAAGACCAGTGACCGCAAAACCCGGAACCGGAAACGGGGCCCGAATAGGGGGCTAGGGATGCGCAAAACAGTTCTGTCAACAG